ACACCAATAACATTATCAAGCTTAGTGCAGATGGCCAGATGAGCAAAAGAGGGAAAGGTTTAGAATGTCCTAATTGTCATGACGATTCTCTCAATTTATGCTTTATAGATGATGATGAGTACAGAGAGCTGAATGAAAAGAAATGAATGAAAGTTAAGAAGTGGAAGACACCATGGATGAAGGATCCCCAACTGAATCTGATAGTGACAGAATATCCTCAGACACTAGTTGTGACCCTCGAGGTAGTCCCTCAAACTCTGCCAAGGATTTGCAAGATAATGCCTCGAACTCTAATTCAGATTTACCAGATATTTGGGGCAGTGACAACGAAAGCCATAATGACGATGATGTCGACAGAGATTTGCCATCCACAAGCACTGGGAGGGTCACAGGGTCAGGATGTGGGAAAAGGCATATTGCAATAAAGCAGGATACCTCACTGCCAGCGGGCTCACCTTCCAGCGTCATGCATTGACGTAACGAGCAAAAACGTTTGGAAGGGGGGGGGGGCAGAAGAAAAATCTGCATCACCACCACTCTTACACGTTACATGCAGGCCAGATAAGCGTATTTAGATACCTTATTTGTGACACTGGCAGGCCACTAATTGGCGAAGAGTCCAGGGAGCACAGCCCCCGGAAGCTCGGGGATTTAGTCATTTAATTACGGTCAGATGAGCATCCAGGGCCCCGCCTTAGGGTCCTTGGTGGGATCCAGGGGCAGAGCCCCCGGAAGCTCTGGGGTTTTAGGCATTTTATTTACGGTCAGATGAGCATCCAGGGGCCCGCCTTAGGGCCCTTGGTGGGGTCCAGGGGGCAGAGCCCCCGGAAGCTCTGGGGTTTTAGGCATTTAATTACGGTCAGATGAGCATATTTTGTTACCTCGTTTGTGACATTGGCAGGTCACTTATTTTTTTTCTCTCTCTTTCTTTCTTTCTTTTTCTCTGTACAGAACTTTTTCAAAAAGTGAGGGGGGGGGGGGTCGAGCCCCCGAGCCTGGCCGTTCTGCAGACCCTGCCATAAAGGCTTCTAAATAATCTTATTTTCAGCCCGACTGCACTAAATTTGGGAATTTCAATTTTTTCCAACAGACGCATAAAAAGGTATGAATTACAAACAAAATTGAGAAAAAAATACCGGAAAATCATGTCATTTCAGGAACATTTGTAAATCATTGGTATCGAATACAAAAATACACCCCCCCCCCACCCATCAGTACGCCAGCGTTCAGGGGCTCATGTCTTCTCATCCCTGTAACAAAAAATAGACACGCTTTCCCAATTTCTCACAATATGGCCACGATATGCGCGTATCGCTATTATAAAAAACCTCCATTGAAAATTATAGGTAGCATGCGCAACGTTTAGGAAATTTAAGTCCTGTTAACTTTCCTTTTCTTTGAATGAAATTTTATACATCATTTTTTATTATTGTTTAATATGTTCTTTTGGGTTAAAATACAAACCATCTTTACTCCTTTACTGCTTTTTTTTTAGGGGGGGGGGCGTTTTGGGGAGGCAAAAATGCATTTTGCCCCCATTTTTTAGATGGGGGGGGGGGGGGGGGCAGGGGGCAGTTCCGGCGCCTATGGTAAGGGCAATTATTGTACTTGAAAAGGGGCACTCACCTGATGTATAGGGGAACTTGTTAGAATTAAAAGGGGCGCTTGTCACAAAGGAAAATAGATAGTTGTCGCGAGAAAAGGGGCACCTATGAGATTTGTATAGAGGCATCTATCAGAGGTGTCAGAAGGGGCATTTATGAAAAGCGAAATGGGCCCTTATTAAAAAAGGAAAGGGGTTTTTATCGGAAGGAAAAGGGGCATTTATTAGAAAGAAAAAGGGGGCACGTGTCAAGTAAAAAAGGAGCACTTATCAGAAGGGGAAAGGGCAAGGGGCACTTATTACAACAGAAAAGGGCACTTGTTAAAGTAAAATGAGCACCTTTCAGATTTGAATAGGGGAATTTATAATAGGTGAAGGGGCGCTTATCATATATGGTATTAAAGAGGCCATTGTAAGATTGCAGAACGGACACCTATTAAAAATAAAAACGGGCACTTGTCTGAACTAAAATGGACACTTTTCGTATGTAAAATGGAGCACTTAAGGGGTATCTGAATAAGTGGGGGGCACTATGCCCCTGCCCCGGCTCCGCAGTCTCTGAAATACACGTAAATTAGAGAGGCGGACGGAGTAGTGTGGATCCATTTATTTTTGAGAAGTGGTATCGTTCCGATATCGATTATGTACATAGTTGACAGATACTATTCTTTGATCATATAATATATGAAAATGTTTTCTAAACAGTTTAGGAAAATGTACTTTTTCCCCTTTTATTAGGGCCTACCAAAATATCAATGTACAGTGAATCCAGTTTTGTTATATGAAAATATGTACAATTTTGTTTAAGATAAATGATTTATACATTATGTATTTGATATGAGAGAATATAATAACAAATATCTTTAAAAAAAACAAAAATCGTAACGGCCGGGTCGTTGCGGGGATTCCCCGTAGGGATTCCCCTAAACTTCCGTGTACATCGCGGCCATTTTGGGACGCAAATTTGTGCTGTGTTTATAGCTACGTTTACACTGCTTGCCGCGTTGGTTGTCGTCCATCGTCCATTGTATTTTTGTTTAAGCATACGGTGTTTTTTCGTGCCAAAGAAAGGAGGGATAGATTTTACTATCTGTGAAGGACATAGAACACACCAATAACATTATCAAGCTTAGTGCAGATGGCCAGATGAGCAAAAGAGGGAAACGTTTAGAATGTCCTAATTGTCATGACGATTCTCTCAATTTATGCTTTATAGATGATGATGAGTACAGAGAGCTGAATGAAAAGAAATGAATGAAAGTTAAGAAGTGGAAGACACCATGGATGAAGGATCCCCAACTGAATCTGATAGTGACAGAATATCCTCAGACACTAGTTGTGACCCTCGAGATAGTCCCTCAAACTCTGCCAAGGATTTGCAAGATAATGCCTCGAACTCTAATTCAGATTTACCAGATATTTGGGCCAGTGAGAATGAAAGCCTTAAGGACGATGATGTCGACAGAGATTTGCCATCCATAAGCACTGGGAGGATCACAGCGTCAGGATGTGGGAAAAGGCATATTGCAATAAAGCAGGATACCTCACTGCCATCAGTGGGGAAAGATAGTGCAGTGGATTATGAGTCTGACCTTCAAGCAGAGGAACAACTTAGTGGCATTGGAGAGAAAAATTCAGAACTGGATGGTGATTATAAATCTGAAGGACAACCTCGTAATCAAAGACATCATAATGAACCAGGACATATGAGTGGAGACGTTAGTCACGCTAGTGACATCAAAGGCAACGGAATGACTCTGGGAGACCTTTGGAAGGAATCTCAGTCGTATAGTCAAGTGGACGCTGTAGAATACAAGTTTGAGGATAGGCCTTGGGACTTACATCTAGCAGACTTCAGCAACCCAGATATTTTTCAATCTCAGGAGTCGCCGTTGCCTCAGGATTCACCATCAGCTGTTCACATTTTATCAGGTGTTGTCAGATCCAGCGACTGTGAAGGCGATGATGCTCCATCTGCAAGTGGCACATACCTTCGTCATCCAGGTATGATTTTTTTCCCTTCAATATAATGATCTCCATCTTCTGCTCATTAACATTGCAATTAGTTGTTGGGAGATTTCCTTGATCCAAGAAACAGAGTTTATCCTGATTCTGAATCTAATCAGGGGACATACTTGTTTAATTAGGTTCTAGGACGATTGCCCCCTTTCACCCCTGGTCAATTACCAGTGGGACAATTACTCCCCAAGGATAACCACCCACCGAGGATTATTACTCCCTTGGAAAATTATCCCCTAGGACAATTAAACCCCAAGGACAATCGATCCCACACAAAATAACCACTGCCCCCAAATACCCCCCCCCCCCAAAAAAAATAAATAAAATATCGTCATGGGACAGCCACGTACCCAACCCCAATTTCATCCACAATCAGCGACAACTATGCAACGACAACAACCCCCGAGGAAAATTTTACGCCCCCTGGAAAATTACAACAGTTGTGATTTTCCAGGGGGCTGTTCATTAAAGGGGAAGTCTACCCTGTTAATAAGTTGTTTTTAATAAAAGAAGAAAATATGGAGAAACAAGTTACTGAGAGTTTGATAAAAATCCAATAACAAATAAAAAAAAAGTTGTCATCAATGAAACACAAATTAGCAAAATTGTGACGTATCATGCGAGCTCCCCTCCCATTTTTCTTGTACTAAAATCTTCCAAAAAGCTGTTTTCTTCCGTGAGAAAATTTTAATTATACATTCACCCTAAATATATTTAAATGCAAATATGTTTTTTTGTACAACCCCTGTTTGAAACAAATATATTCTGTCATAAAATAACGTAGATTTGAAAGTTTATGGTTTTCCTTGGGTAATTGTCCGGGGGTGATTGTCTTAGGGGGGGGGGGGGGGGTTGTGACTCAATATCAATTTCCCATATCTTTTATTAGATATTAGGTATAATGCTGAAATTGATAGTAACTTGAGTACTTATAATCCTGTGTTATCCCATAATAACTTTGGAGCGACAACTGCATAGTTTAAATATAGATGTGCGCAATGAGCAACCTTTCCCAAATTCTTGCAAATTGCTTTAGGATAGCTTGGAAAAAATGTTAACTACCGGGTACTTGCTTTCTTTCCATTTTTATTTTTTATGGTCTCCATTTTCTCTGATTATTCACAACACTACATGAAATAGCCATTATTATCCATAAATCTTATAAATATTTTGCCATTAATATTTGTTAAATGTTACTCGTTGGATTTAAAATGCACCATATCCTAAAAGTGTTATTAATATTCCAACCGTTTCACTATTGAGTCAAAAAGTTTGACATCGAAGTCTACATAATAAAATATGAAAGTACAACATGAAACATTGTCCTTTTTACTTCAGGCTGTGGGTTGGATGGTAGCTGCAAAGATAAAATCAACTTGGCCATGACAAAAAGCCGTAGAAAACCTCACTGCAGTGATGATAATTCATCGACTAATGAAGGAGACCTGACATCCTGGGACAATGTACAGAAGAAGCCAGACTTTGATAAACAGTCTGATGCCAGAAGAAAGCTGAAGGTGAAACGTAAAAAGAAATGTAGGAACAGGCGAGGTCAGAAGAAGAAGCAGAAAGTTGCAAAGAGTGGTAAATGTTACTCTTTGGGTGATGTTGGTTCATTACAGGATCCTGAATCCAACCAAGTTTCAACGAATGAGGTTTGCTTGCAGCAAGGACGGGGTCCAGAGCAATCTGGAAAAATGGACAGGTTGCCTCCTAAAATTCCTGCACGCCCGTTGAATGAAGGTTCAGGCGAAGAGCCTATTGATACTGTCAGCGATGAAGACACTCATAAAATAAGAAGATGTCTTGTCAGCACAAAAGCTTCAGCGGTGTCCGAGAATGAGACAGACTCGGATGAAACTATGATTGACAGTAATGATGGAGATGATCACGGGCACACTGAAAATATGACAGGCGATGAAGTGGGTGAGGTAGTCCTTAAAGAAACAACTGAGGATTTTGATACACAGCCTTTCTCACCTATTCTTCATGAAGAAAGTGATGATTCTTTAAGTGATGCAAGCAAAGAGTTCCCTACCTCTGACACGATCGTTCCAAGAGATTTCCCACCACACTTGTTGGAGGATAAGGAACATAATGATAGAGAAGCTGCTGACCTAGAACCTAACTCTCACGTAAGCTGTCAAAGCCCTGATGAAGAAATCCACCAACCTCAAAGGGATGATGCAGGTTTAGAAACTTCTTCAAATAATGGTGTCAATCCGCCACGTTTGCAAATAGAGGATGACTCTCATAGACAGTATTTCCCCACAGATTCTCAGTTGAGTATCAAGATGGAGAATGAGGATACTGAAGATCTGACCACTCAGCAGCTACAGCAAAAGCCTCTAGAGGATGACTCTCAAGGACAGTATTTCCCCAAAGATTCTCAATTAAGTATCAAGATGGAGAATGAAGACACTAAAGAACAAGTTAATCAACATGAGAAAGGAACAGTATCCCATGGTAAAGAGGCACAAGCAGCTATGTCCATTCCTTCCAAAGGAGTTTCAAAGGACGTTGATAAGGACTCTGGAAAGAAACTTCTTTCTTGCCAACGAAATGCATGGTGTCCCTTAGAGTTGGATCCCCAAGAAAGATTCTTGTTGCTACAAGAGGAGCAATTAGCAATGTCCATTCCTTCCAAAGCTCACTTATCCGGAGGAATTTCCGAGGACCTCGATAAGAACTCTGGAAAGAAATTTCTTCCATGTCTACGAAATGCATGGTCTCCATCAAGGTTGCACCCACAAGAAAGATTGTTGTTGCTACAAGAGGGAGAATCAGAACCTGTGTATTCTTTCTCGCTAGAAGCTCTAGCTGTGCCTTTTTCTCGGTGTGTGGCCCCAAGCATATCTACAGCAGCACCTGACAAATTGGTTGCAAGTAGAAATGAACAACACATCCAGAGACCCTCAAGACCTGATAAATTACCGTCAACTACAAAACAAAATGATCGTCAAAAGGAGAAGAATGATACCAAGAGGGCCGACTCTCTACAGGACATTCCTGACACTTCATCTAATACACTCAGCTTAAGTTCCAAGGAACCTTCAGAAAGCCCTTCTACATCCATGATCCGTTCCGTGCAGGATTGCCTCCAGCAACCTGCATCTTTGAACTCAAATGAGATGGGTTTGGAGGATAGACTACCTGCAGATTCAAGAAGTTTGTCACATGGTCATTCATCAATTCCAAGTGTTTCCTTTCCTTCAACAAGTTTGTACTCCAGTAACATCTCTGAATCCTCAAGGACTCTTAACGGTGGTCATTCTGCCTCTTCAGGCACCTCTGAAACACCCAGTACCAAACCAGACAGGTTAAAACCTACTGGAGATGATAGATCTGCTTGTCCAAGTGACCCTCCAGACCCATCATTGGTGGCATCGGACATGAGCAAACCTCTAAAGAAGAGACGCCACTCGCAGACATCAAGTGTTCCGTCAGGAAACCAAGGGACAGAACCTTCCAAGGTTAATCAGGTAAGTCCCTCTCTTCATCTGCAACTACTGGAGCCTTTCTCTCGGTGTGTGGCCCCAAGCATATCTACAGCAGCACCTGACAAATTGGTTGCAAGTAGAAATGAACAACACATCCAGAGACCCTCAAGACCTGATAAATTACCGTCAACTACAAAACAAAATGATCGTCAAAAGGAGAAGAATCCCACCCTGAGGACCAACTATGTACAGGACGTTCCTTGCACTCCATCTAATCCACCTAGTTTAAGTTCAAAGGAACCTTCAGAAACCTCTTTTGTTTCCGTGATCCATTCCGAGCAGGATTGCTTTCAACAACCTGCATCATCAAACTCAAATGAGATGGATTTGGAGGATATACTACTTGCAGATTCAAGAAGTTTGTCACATGGTCATTCATCAATTCTAGGCGAGTCCTTCCCTTCAACAAGTTCGTACTCTGCAAACATCTCTGAGACCATTGGTGGTCAAGCTGCCTGTTCAGGCACCTCATCGACACCCAATACTAAACAAGACAGGGCAAAACCTACCGATGAAGATAGATCTATTTGTCCAGGTGACCCTCCAAACCCGTCATTGGTGCCATCGGACATTAGGAAACCTCCAGAAAAGAGACGCCATTCGCAGACATCAAGCCATCCGGCAGATGCTGTGATGCCTGCAGGGGCCATCTTGTTACCTCCAGTAGTGGACACGGGTAGCAGATCATCTCAGGAACTTAACAGCAAAGGTAACGCCCCTATGATCGTAGGAGAACAGCATGTGCCTAATGCTCTAAGAGATATCTCTCAGAGTCAATCTTTTCAAGCCACCCAGGCTTCGTGCGATGGGGTGGAGAAGATCAGATCTTCTGGCAATGATGGAGTAGATAACGGGTGCAAGAAGCGAGTACGCTTAGACACAGGGACAGAGGATCATGGAAAAGCAGCAAAGGTCACAAGGTCATGCGACTCTATCCACGGTGAGTCCTCTAGCGGGAAGTCATTTGGTGGAAGTAGCCATTTCCCCCCATCATCCAGAGACCCTGCTCAACCTCGAAGCATACTAAAGAAACCTGACAGAAACGTAGCATCAACAAGTCATGAAGAGGATATAGGTGTTGTTGGTCACCAGGTGCATCGCAACCTAAGGAGCCACAGTCGATCAATAACAGCCCAGGGCATAACTGCCAGCAGCAGTAGCACCTGTAGTCCTCAAAGACAGAGGAGGAAAAGTTCGCGTCTTGATGCTAGCCTTGACACAGAGGATGGGAAAAGTTTACAAGTAAGTGTTACAGGAACGGGGAACGATGTGAGATTTTCCAGGCAGCAGAAGGGTAAAAATAAAGCAGGTCAGCAGCGAAAACACCAGAGTTCAAGGACTGACAGCATTAAGCATGGTCGGAGAGAAAGGAGACAATTTGGTGAAGCCACTAGATCTGGAACTTCTCAAACTCGGAAGGGTTCTAAAGGAAATGAAACTGGACAAAATCAGAGCCTTGACCGTCAGAAGCGGCAAAGCAGGTCAGATCATCGACCTCAGCGTCAAAGCCGTCAACAAAAAGTGAGTTCAGAGAAGCAGGAGCATGTAAGGAGTGAAAAGAGATCATCTGGTGAAGTAACTGGTGCACGAACTTCTCAACGTCGGAAGGGTTCTAATGGAAATGTAACGGGACAAAATCAGAGCCTTGACCATCAGAAGCAGCAAAGCAGGTCAGATCAACGACCTCAGCGTAAGAGCCGTCAACAAAAAGTGAGTCCAGAGAAGCAGGAGCATGTAAGGAGTGAAAAGAGATCATCTGGTGAAGTAACTGGTGCACGAACTTCTCAACGTCGGAAGGGTTCTAATGGAAATGTAACGGGACAAAATCAGAGCCTTGACCATCAGAAGCGGCAAAGCAGGTCAGATCAACGACCTCAGCGTAAGAGCCGTCAACAAAAATTGAGTCCAGAGAGACAGGAGCATGATAACAGTGAAAGAAGACCAACTAGTGAAGTCACTGGTGCAGGAACTTCTCAACGGTGTACCGGTTCTAATGGAAATGAAACGGGACAAAATCAGAGCCTTGACCATCAGCAACGGCAAAACAGGTCAGATCAACCACCTAAGCGTAAGAGCCGTCAACAAAAAGTGACTAGTCCAGAGAGACAGAAGCACGATAACAGTGAAAGAAGACTAACTAGTGAAGTCACTGGTGCAGGAACTTCTCAACGTCGTAACGGTTCTAAAGGAAATGAAACGGGACAAAATCAGAGCCTTGACCATCAGCAACGGCAAAGCAGGTCAGATCAACGACCTCAGCGTAAGAGCCGCCAACAAAAAGTGAGTCCAGAGAGACAGGTGCATGATAACAGTGAAAGAAGACCAACTAGTGAAGTCACTGGTGCAGGAACTTCTCAACGGTGTACCGGTTCTAATGGAAATGAAACGGGACAAAATCAGAGCCTAATTGACCATCAGCAACGGCAAAGCAGGTCAGATCCACGACCTCAGCGTAAGAGCCGTCAACAAAAAGTGAGTCCAGAGAGACAGAAGCACGATAACAGTGAAAGAAGACTAACTAGTGAAGTCACTATTGGAACTTCTCAACGTCGTAACGGTTCTAAAGGAAATGAAACGGGACAAAATCAGAGCCTTGACCATCAGCAACGGCAAAGCAGGTCAGATCAACGACCTCAGCGTAAGAGCTGTCAACAAAAAGTGAGTCCAGAGAGACAGGAGCATGATAACAATGAAAGAAGACCAACTAGCGAAGTCACTGGTGCAGGAACTTCTCAACGTTGTACCGGTTCTAATGGAAATGAAGCGGGACAAAATCAGAGCCCTGACCATCAGCAGCAGCAAGGCGGATCAGATCAGCGACTTCGGCGTCGAAGCCTTCATAAACAAGACCAGCAGCAAAGTGGGTCCGATCAACTACATTCGCGCGAGTCCAGCTTGCTCAAAAGCTGCTCCATAACATAACAGTTAATAAGGCATATGGGGGTCGATTTTCTGCTCTGACTGAGCCTTATCCAAATACCAGGATTAGGAAACGCTCGAAATCTTCCCAAAACCGCCAGATGAATTACAATTACGCAGATTAAATGCTCAACAGTCCAAAGTGGTTGCATTTACACAGCCAAACATCAGGAGGAAAAAGGGAATACTTCCTTTTCCGTCAAGACAGTGAGATGGTAATGAAAATGACATGAATAATAATCGTTTTATGAATAAGGGTGGTTACGATAGTAGTGATAAAGGATATAAACATGTGTGAAGTTCCATGTATCCATTGCGCAAAATGCTCTGGGCTCTGGTGATTCATCTAGGTCTACATAAAAAAAATTCAATTAATTGAAAGTTGTTGTTTTGAACAACTTTTGTTTTGAGAGGCAAGATTTCAAAGGATTAACAGATCAGATGATTCATGTACATGTATGTTTTCCGTTGTTCCAAACGTTTGATCCAGCAAGTACAAATTATCTATCCCTGTGGTTTTCTAGTTTTTAGTACTTGTACAAGAAGAAGAGAAGAGTAGGGACACTTTGACAGTCTGGGAGGATGGTGGGAAATGAACAAAAAAGAGTTGTACTTAGGAGAGACTGAACCGATGAAGTTGCACAGCACCATGTGGTGGTCAACTTGTGAACAGTACGTAACCCACTGAACTCTACATTAAGTAGTAAAGAGTTTGAGGAACCAACAGCTCAGTGATGTACGGGATGATACTGCTACATCCAGACCTATATGCAGTACCCCTTTAAGTTGTGAAATGCATGTCTTATTAACCAGATTCTCAAAACTTGCTGATTTAAACCGCGGCAGGGCCGTGTTTCATAAAACTTGTTATCAATCACAAGTTACAATAAATGTTTTAACCTACTGAATTCGTGGAATTTGATTGGCTGCGATATAATTTGTCACAGTAATGTAGCATTCGTTATAGATTACAGGTTTTATGAAATAGGGCCTAGAAGTTTTGATCAAGAAGATTATTTTCTTCCCGAAACATGCCAATCCATTTTCATCGATCAGCTGCCTATTTTTTTTTTTTTTTTTTTTTTTTTTTATTTTATTTTTTTTTTTTTTACTAAACTCTCAACATTTTCAATTTATGTGAAGTTTTATTCCAGTTTTGCATGTATATATCTGTAAGAAACAGGATGTGTATATAAACGTTGCATGGCTGTAATTATCAAGTACATGTATGTTAAAGGTAAAGACCAGTATTGGAAACGCCCCAATTTCAAAAAAGGAAATGGAAGCTCTTATTACCAATCATGTGAAAGAATATGTTTTGAATAATACATGATGATAAAAATGTTGACGGGAAACCGCCTACTTATTGATATATTTGGTAAATTAGTGTATCTCTCGCCTGTTGAGAGATACAAATGCACGTGTCGCGCACGTGTGTGTAGTTCCATATACATCTTTCTGCATGTGTACAGTGATTCTAACTTTATGAAGACTTGGCCAAATTTCTTATCATTTTGATGATTCCAGAACCTTGCAGTACATCTATGCTAGATGATCAACCTTTTCTGATCGATTTCACAATGTTTCTTTCACAATGCAATCGCATGACCATAACTGGTGAAGTTTTCTTTAAGTGCAAAAGAAGGATATATCAAATATACACATTTCAGTGCCATTTGATGTATGAAAAAAAGAATGTACCGTATGCATATAATTTAACTACTAAGTTATTCATACTCTTACCAAGTTTCGTATATTTTAAGCATTTCAGAAAATGTGTTTGTCCGATATATGTTTCTTGAGAATGTGACATATTGAAGCTTACATCTAAAAGTATTTCACAAAGGCCGTATTCAACCAGTACACCTGTCATTCTTGAGTTACAAATAACACAAACAACATCAAATTTAAAAGGGGGTATGAATAGTTTAGTTGTTGACTGTATATACTACACAGCTCTGTTCTATAATCAATTACACGTTATGAGTGCAGACGTAGAATTATACGAAGGTTGTACATGTCACTGAAGATATTCCTGTGTATTGCCCTTTAGGTGTCGTAGTGGGTTGGGTTAAGGCATTTATCTTCAAATGCAAAGGTCGTGGGTTTGATCTCCGACACGGCACCTATAAATTACTGTGTAAATATACTTTTCTGTTTGCGGGAGCTCTTTTAAGAGTTGGTGTTGTATAATAATCACTCACAATGATATTTAAGTATTTCATTGATTGTTTGCTTTTTAATGGAGATCTATTTAATCAGGCTTACCAGAGCTAAGCCACTCACCACTCCCGGCCGAGAACTTTTTTTTTCTTTTTCGCCGTTTCTGTTATTATGGTACATAATTTCTTTGTATATTAAAAATACCAAATAAATAATGTGAACAGTACATGTACATATAGTGGATTCAAACTCAAAAGTGCCTTTATTTTCAAGCAGTTTTCAATCTGCAATGATATATATTTTTAATGTTTGTAGCTTTAAGGCTTGTTCAGATATGGTGCTGTTAACCGGCCGCAAAAACAAACATCGCTGCAGTTTTTGTTTTATATTAACTTCTGAGCATGAATGGCAACTGTGTGCACCAAAGCCTTTGTTATATACAGAAATATACAGAAATGTGAAACGTATTACACTTTACGTCATCGTAAAAAAAAAAAAACGCCGCAGACGGTTTTGCAGCGCTATATCTGAACGAGCCTATATAAGCTGGAGGAGGGTTAAGGTTGCTGTTACGTTTTCCTGTTGATGAAACGGTGTATAATTATTATGGTCTTAGCTTGGCGGATCTTCGTACATTTAGATGTAGCTTGAAGGAAAAAAGGAGAGAGGTTGATATATTGCACAATACATGTATAATGAATTATGCACAATAGACAAAGTACAGGAATGGATTAAAGGTGTACATGTAAATTGTTGATGTTATATAGAGGGGTGTTCGCAGTTTATCAACTATATTTTTTTAATAATGATACAAATTGTCTTCCTGTTATATGTACAACTATATATTCGTTACAGCTTGGCTCCACACTGTCGTGAGTGTAAGCTGAATATAGGTTCGAATTGAACTGTTTAGAATCTGTATTCGTGAGCCATGTGTAAACATTTTAGAAATTTTGAGGGTCCAGACTTGGATTTCGGACGCCCTTGTTTCCCGGGCGCCTGTTGGAATCCTGCTTTACAATATAGTGGAGTCCTAACCTAATTAGTGTTGTATTATAGACTGTCTTCGTGTATACTACAGTATCGTGTAAATAGGAATTTAACTGTCATAGAAATATGTTTATTTTTATATATTCATTTATAAAGTGTAGAACTATGGAAATATTTTATTTTATTTTTCATTAACGTATTTGGAACATATACAAATTATATAAATCCTTGATAATCAACTGATATCAGTTGATTATCAAGGATTTATATAATTTGTATATGTTCCAAATACGTTAATGAAAAAGAAAATAAAATATTGAACATACTGAACATAGTGATACTAAATTGTCAACATACTGTGTATATAATTGTAAAAAAAAAAGTTGTTTCTCTTGTGTTGAAGTATTATAATATTATGGTACATTAAAATAACATAAACTAAGAACACCATGTCTTTAAAAGTATAGAAGAACAAAAATTGCAGCAATTTTTAAGCTTGTAACTTTGAATGGCAACTATGGGCAATAAAATCCTTTGTTGCCCGCCTTCGTTGCGAGTCAAAAGATTCGCATGTTTTCAATAAACTGAATATTATAATTGTGAAGCGTATATGACACTTTACGTCATCGTTTTATGGATTAAAGGTGTACATGTAGCTATTGTTTTATAGAGGGGTGTATCGTAGTTTATCAATAGTTGTAGTGTAGGTATTTCGCATTCTGTCACTGAAAAACATGGATTGTATGAACATTGATATATATTTTGTTTAAATAGAATTATAAAAATATTGCCTTCCCGTTAGATAAATATGAAACGTATTACACTTAACGTAAACAAATATAAAAAAAAAACCCGCCGCAGTTTTGCAGCGTCATTATATTTACGAGCCTGAGGATAAAGAAGAGGGTTATAGGTTCACGTTTTTCTATAGATGAAACGGTATATAATTATTATGGCCTTAGTTTGGAGGATTTTAGTACATGTAGATGTAGCTTGAAGGAAAAAAAGAGAGGTTGATAGATTTCACAATGTAATGAATTATTCACAATAGACATTTCTGTAATGGATTTTCGTGTTTTTAATATACATGTATGTACTATGTATTTTATATGTATTGTAACGAAACCGGAGCTCTGTCGAATACTCCCCAGCAGCTTATCTTGTCAGGATGCCTTCTGCTGGTATGTTTTCTTAGTCCGGTACCAATTTCGCCGTGGATCCGTTTGGCAGAGATATACTGCCCCGTTGACCTTGCACCACCTCTCGACCACCGTCCAGTCGACACTACCAGACCGTGTACAGGTCTGTACTTCACCACCGTCTTCTACCAACCGTTGTACCGTCGTGTACCACCAGTCGACTAAACCAGTCCGCTTCTGCACCTTTCAAACGTCTATACTAGTCTGCTTGTGCATGCAACTCCAATTGGCCGCACCAGTTTGCTTCATGCACCTTTCAGACGTCTATACTAGTCTGCTTGTGCATGCAACTTCCATTGGCCGCACCAGTTTGCTTCATGCATGCACCTTCAAACAACCAGACCGTCTGTCTTTGTACAGTCAGCTTACTCGTGCCACTGGCTCTGCTACG